GCCTGTTTTTGTAAATAAAATTCGGTATAACTATTCTTCTCTCAGTCTCCACAGCAGGGAGTTGGTTCTAAGTCACAGGGTCCTGCCCTGTTCATATTCAGCCCAGCTGCTGGATTAAAAACCCGAAGAGTATCCTCACACACACTTCTGCCCCCCTCCTCTCTAGAGCCCCATCCCACAAATTCCACCCGTGCCAGCAGCCTAGGGCTCTGATTTTTTCCCCCTTCAGGTCAGTGAGGCCACCACTCTGCTGGCTCCACTTTGGTGCTACCTGGCAGGAAAGTGCCCCAGGAGGAAAGCCATGGCAATGGTGGGCTCACTTCATGTGCTTCCTTCCTCTCAAATAATGCTGTGCTGCACTGCCCGTTGCTAAATGCCTGCAAACTCTTGTTCACATATTTTGTCTGTTTTTTAAAGTTGCTTTCAGCAGGAAGATAAATTTTGTCATGGTCGGAAGCAGAAGTCCTCATGGGCTGTTTTTCTTTTCCCCTTCAATTATTTTATCTAGCTCAGGGAATGTCCATTGTGTGCTTGTAAGTTGTTCTTTTTTAATAGGCTTTACTTTTTAGAACAGCTTTAGGTTCACAGTAAAATTGAGCAGAAGGTACAGAGATTTCCCATATACTCCTGACATCACACATGCACAGCCTCCCCCATTGTCACATTATCAACATCCCCCACCAGATTGTACGTTTGTCACCATTGATAAACCTACACTGATGCATCATCGTTGCCTAAAGTCCATAGTTTACATTAGGGTTCACTCTTGGTGTTGTATATTCTGTGGGTTTGGACTAATAGGTATCCATCATTATGGTGTCCTACAGAGTAATTTCACTGCCCTAAAAATCCTCTGTGCTACACATATTCATCCCTTCCTCCTCCCTACTCCCTGGCAACCTACCAATTCTTTTTACGACCTTCATAGTTTTTCCTTTTCTAGAATGTCATATAGTTGGACTCATATAGTGTATAGCCTTTTAAGATTGTCTTCTTTCACTTAGTAATATGCATTAAAGTTTCCTCTATGTCTTTTCATGGCTTGAGAATTCATTTCTTTTTAGCATTGGGTAACATCCCATTGTCCGAATGTACCACAGTTTATTTATCCACTCATTTACTGAGGGACGTCTAAGATTACTTCCAAATTTTGACAATTATTAATAAAGCTGCTAGAAACATCCGTGTGCAGGTTTTTCTGTGGACTCAGCTTTTCAACTCCTTTGGGTAAATACCAAGAAGCATGATGGCGGGATGGTACATTAAGAGTATGTTTAGTTTTGTCAGAAACTGCCAAAACTGTCTTCCAAAGTGTCTGTACCATTTTGCTTTCCCATCCACAATGTATGAGGGATTTTGTTGCACCACACCCTCACCAGCATTAGGTGTTCTGAATTTTGGTCATTCTAAAGATGTGCAGTGGCATCTTATTGTTGTTTTAATTTGCATTTCCCTGATGACATGATGTGGAACATCTTTTCATATACTTATTTGCCATCTGTATATCTTCTTTGGTGAGGTGTCTGTTCAGGACTTTGGCCCATTTTTTTCAATCAGGGTTCTTACTGTTGAGTTTTAAGAGTTCTTTGTATATTTTGGATACCAGCCCTTTATCATATAAATATTTTCTCCCAGTCTGTGGCTTGTCTTTCCATTCTCGTGACAGTGTCTCTTAAGAGCAGAATTTTTTTTTTCCGTTAAATCAGAATTTATTTTTTTTAAAGCATATGGCAACAAGAAAATAACACAAAAACAAACACCCTACTCCTTTTTTTTGGTTTGTTTTCTTTTCTTTTTTTTTTACTGAAGTATAGTTTATTTACAATGTTGTGCCAATCTCTGGAAATTTTTTTATTTTAATGAGGTCCAGATTCTCAATTCTTTTCTTCATGGACCGTGCTTTTGGTGTTGCATCTAAAAAGTTGTCACCAAACCCAAGGTCAACTAGATTTTCTCCTATATTATCTTCAAGGAGTTTTATAGTTTTATGTTTTACTTTTAGGTCTGTGATCCATTTTGAGTTACTTTTTGTGAGGGACATAAGATGTGTGTTTAGATTTTATTTTTGCATGTGGAATGTCCAGTTGTTCTAGCACCATTTGTTGAAAAGACTATCTTTGCTCCACTGTATTGCCTTTGCCCCTTTGTCAAAGATCAGTTGGTCTATTTCTGGACCCTCTATTCTGTTCCACTGATCTATCTGTCTGTCCTTTCACCAATACCACACTGTCTTGATTAATGTAACTTTTTAGTAAGTCTTGAAGTCAGGTAGTATGTCCTCCAACTTTGCTCCTTTCAGTCAATATTGTGTTAGCTATTCTGAGTCTTTTGTCTCTTCATATAAACTTAGATTCAGTTTGTTGTCATCCACCAATTAAGTTGCTGGGCGTTTTATTGGGATTGCCTTCAATCTATAGATCAAGTTGGGAAGAACTAACATACTGACAATATTGAATCTTCCTATCCATGAACATGGAATATCTCTCCATTTATCTAGCTCTTCATTGATTTATTTCATCAGAGTTTTATAGTTTTTCTTCATGTAGATCTTGTACATATATATATATATTTTTTTTACTTATACCCAAGTACTTCCTTTTTTGGGTGCTAATGTAAATGGTATTGTGCTTCTAATTTCAATTTCCTCTTGGTCATTGCTGGTATTTAGCAAAGTGGTTGACTTTTGTATATTAGTTTTGTATCTTGTAACCCTGCTGTAATCACTTATTAGTATGAGGTTTTATTTTTGGTCTATTCTTTCAGATTTTCTACATAGATAACATGTCTTCTACAAACAAAGACAGTTTTGTTTCTTCCATCCCAATCTGGATACCTTTTGTTTCCTTTTCTTTTCTAACTGTATTAGCTAGGACTTCCAATATGATGCTGAAAAGCAGTGGTAACAGGGAACATCCTTGCCTCGTTCCTTCATTTGGCTTTTCTGATTATTACACACATCTTGTTTCAGCAACAGATTTACCTTCCGATACTTAAATTGTTGGTTGGTATTGACGTATGATAAGTGCCAGCGAATGGTACTGATGACATGGGCTGTAGGGAGAGATGAACTTTTGCAGGAGTTAAGGGTTAAGGTAAAACTCAGCCGAGTCTCTATCTGGACATTTTCTTTTTCTGGACAGGAAAAAAAGGGAGCGGAACTAGTACCTATTCTTTTTTTTTTCTTCTTTTTAAATTAATTTTATTGAAGTACAGTTGATTGACAGTGTTGTGATCATTGCTGCTGTACAGCAAAGTGATTCAGTTATACATACATATATACATTCTTTTTCATGTTCTTTTCCAGTATGGTTTATCACAGGATATTGAATATAGTTCCCTGTGTCATACAGTAGGATCTTGTTGTTTATCCATTCTATATATGATAGTTTGCAACTGACTAGCATCTATTCTATGCCTATTATGTGCCAGGTGCTCTGCAAGTTACCTTAATATGTTATTTCATGTAATATTTAAAAGAAATCAGTAAAATAATTATTATACCCATTTTACAAAAAAGGAAGCCAAGTCTTAGATACGTAAAAACAATAAAGCTGTATACCTAGTAAGCTGGAAGAACTACAATTTAGAAACCTATCCTTCTCCTCTTTCCACCATGCTGTGTTTCTTGCCTTATGATTATTATAATTCCTGGAATTTACATTATTTTACATGTTCCTCTACAACTGCTGGCCCAGTGAGCTATTCAAACTGCTTTTGTGTAGTCCCTTCTTGGTTAGAGGTGGGACAAGCTGTCCAGGTTCACCTCACCTTCTTCTTTTTTTTTTTTTTTTTTTTTTTTGCGATACACGGGCCTCTCACTGTTGTGGCCTCTCCCATTGCGGAGCACAAGCTCCGGACACGCAGGCTCAGCAGCCATGGCTCACGGGCCCAGCCGCTACGTGGCATGTGGGATCTTCCCAAACAGGGGTACGAACCCGTGACCCCTGCATCAGCAGGCGGACTCTCAAGCACTGCGCCACTAGGGAAGCCCCTCACCTCACCTTCTTAAGGGTGTCAGGAGGGTCCCGCATCTTGGCTGGGGGTGGTCTCCAGGATGACAAGATGCTGGGCGGACTGTGAGGGCTCAGAGAAGCTCCACTCCACCCTGAGTGATTAACAGACGATCGGCAGATGGTCCTCTGCCAGCAGCGAGTGCAGCAACCTGCCCGGACCCTGTGCCCGTTTGCTGGGTGGCAAGGCCAGATGTGGGAGCCCTGGCTGCCTCCCTTTTTTCTGTTTCCTGTGGTACTTCCTGTCCGCTTCCTTTATCCAGCCTGTGACTTTTTCCTGAAAAATCTCATCTCTTGAAGCAGGAGAATTTGTCGCGAGATATACAATGGAATCATTGCTCTGATGAGACCAGCACCTTTTCCTCCCATAATAGTTGGGTGTTCAACTATTCAAGTGTCTTTAGTGGGAAGCCAGTGACTATTGTGGGGGGCGAGGGAGGGTCAGGTCTTCGTGGTGTGAGAAGGAATTTGGTAAACTTAGAGGTGGGTAGGTGGGTGAGAAACACACATTTCCTACTCACCAGACATTGAGTGAAGCACTTTACAAATATTTCTTCAAAAATAAACAACCTTACAGAATCATTAATTACAGAAAGTCGGACAATCTTTATTTCCTTCAAAGTATTTCTCACAGACACATCTCATCCCTCAATTAAATCAATGTGGTTCGTCCCTCCCTTTGCTCATGTCCCTTGTGCCCCCTCATTCTATACTTGCTCAGCAGGAGGCATATTCAGAATAAAACCTCATTTGTTTCTATTCATTTCGTTTGAAAGACACTGTAGTTTGGAGGTGAACTTGGCTGAAGTTAAATTCTGAACCATCTCTGATATGAAGGTTTCTAAAGAAACTTCAACAGCCTTAGTTTCTCTCCAGGAAACGGCGGGGTACATACAAAACCCCTTAAATCGAGCGAAGGAACGTGTGATTCGATCATATGCCCATGTTTGGAAGCTCCTGGACTCCTAAGGCGCCTTTTTGTCTTGGCAGATGCTTGTCTTGAAGACCCACCGAGTCTCAGAAACGCCATGTTCAAGGTCCTCAGGTATGAGGTGGGCACCATGATAAACTGCGACTGCAAGAAAGGCTTCCGCAGAAGGTCGCCCTTCATGCGCTGCACAGGAAACTCCAGCCACTCTGCCTGGGAAAACAGATGCCACTGCGACAGCACCTGTAAGTGTTTCCATTTGTAACCCCGGAGGGAAGGAGAAAAACTGTAGCAAAGAGGGAGACAGGGCTTCAGCTATTATTCGCACGGCCCTACAGACAAAAACTGGCCGCCCCATCTACGTGGAAACTAATGTTGGTGGTTCCCAGAATAGTCATTCGCTGAACAGATATTGAATGAGTGTCTCCTAGTTCCAAGGCCTGTTCCAGATACTTGGGGATATGACAGACCCAGCCCTCAAGGAACCTATACTTCGGGGGGAGGGAGGGAGGACAGACATTACACTAATAATTACTAAACAACTAAAAATAATTCTAGTTCACAATGACGTGAATGTAGCTCATGCCACTGAACTGTACACTTAAAAATGGTTACTATGGTACATTTTATGTTATGCACATTTTATCACAATTTTTAAATTGAAGTATAGTTGATTTACAATGTTGTGTTAGTTTCAGGTGTACAGTAAAGTGATTCAGTTGTGTGTATACACACACACTTTTTCAGATGTTTTTCCATTATAGATTATTACAAGGTATTGAATATAGTTCCCTGTGCTTTACAGTAAAGTCTTGTTATTCACCATATTTTATATGTAGTAGTGTGTATCTGTTAATCCCATACTCCTAATATATCCCTCCCACACTTTTTCCCTTTGGTAACCATAAGTTTGTTTTCTATGTCTGTGAGTCTGTTTCTGTCTTGTAAATAAGTTTATTAGCACTGTTGATTAGATTCCACACATAAAAGATATCATATGATATTTGTCTTTCTCTGACTGACTTATTTCACTTAGTTTGATAATCTGTAGATCCATCCATGTTGCTGCAAATGGCATTATTTCATTCTTTTTTATGAATGAGTAGTATTCCACTATACACACACACACACACACACACACACACACACACACTACATCTTCTTTATCCATTCATCTGTTGGTGACATGTTGCTTCCATGTCTTGGCTATTGTGAATAGTGCTGCTATGAACATTGGGGTGTATGTATCTTTTTGAATTAGAGTTTTCGTCTTTTCTGGGTATATACCCAGGAGTGGGATTGCTGCATCATATGGTAGCTCTATTTTTAGTTCTTTAAGGACATCCGTACTGTTCTCCATAGTGGCTGCACCATTGTCATTGCTTTAGGAGGGCCTCTCTCTAACTTTTAAATGAACTGCCTTGGGAAACAGAGGAGTGGGCGGGCTGTTGAATTAATAGCTCCTCTCGCTACCACACTCATCCCCACGTACAGTGTTGATGGGGTTGATGGCCAGAATGGCGTCCCTTTTGGAGAGACACACAGACACAAACAATTCCACCAGAAAAATCTCAGCTCCTTCAGAAACACGTTGTAGGCCACTGACATCATGTACAGGAAACCTGCCTGACAGGCCAGTGCTGCACTGGCCAGGAACAGGCCCCCTGAGAGCCCCCCAAGGGCAGGGTGTGTGGGGATCATCTTTATAATCCCAGTATCCCCTGATATTGCCTGGCACATCACAGACCCTAGAAAGACTCTCTTTTTGAGCAAATGAATACATGAAGAGTGTGTTCTCTTTTAAACTTTTGTGAAGCTCTCTTCTTCATTCCATCCATACTCTCTAGCCTCCCCTAAGACTCCAGGAAAACAAGTTACTCCTGGACTCAAAGAACAGAATGAAGAAACGACCACAGAAATGCAGAGCCAAATGCAGCCCACAGGCCAAGCTAACCTTCCAGGTAAGAGGGGACCCATTCTCTTGCAGGTACAGGATGTGTGCCCCAGAGAAGGAGGATCTGTCCTGCTGTCCTCTTTCCTAAGGATGTCATGTGGACGAGAACTATTGTGTAGTGTTTGCAGGCTGTTTGCTCAGCATTTCAAGCCACTCTTACAGCAGCCAACCTGGGCTCTGGGTTGCCTCCGGGTTTGGGAACTGGCCAAATAGAACTCAATTCAATTCACTTCATTTCAATTCAATTCAAAAAGCATGTTTGGGGACAAACTGTGCCAGGCACTGCGGCCAGACAATACAAACCTGAGTAGACGGTCACCCCTGCCCTCAAAGAGATGCTGTGTTTTCCCCTTAAGTACAAGGCAGTGAACTCCAAGCAAAGCAATTTACTTCCAGACATTCCTTACAGGACAGGGTTGTGAAGTGGGCGGTGCCACACTGGTGCCTCTGGAAGCTGCGGACAAACACCTCCTAGCTAATAGGCTGTGGCCTAGTGAGTTGCTGCCCCAACTTCCCAAAATTAATAACGTTGGGGCTTCCCTGGTGGCACAGTGGTTGAGAGTCCACCTGCCGATGCAGGGGACGCGGGTTCGTGCCCCGGCCCAGGAAGATCCCACATGCCGCGAAGCGGCTGGGCCCGTGAGCCATGGCCACTGAGCCTGCGTGTCCGGAGCCTGTGCTCCGCAACGGGAGAGGCCACAACAGTGAGAGGCCCCACGTACCGCAAAAAAAAAAAAAAAAAAAAATGTTGAAGTCAAGCCATAACATCAGGAAGAAAGAGAGTCCATTAGGAAAACCTGAGCCTTCTGGGGCACCAGCTGACCTTACAAGACCCCATGGTCCAATGCTAATTTTATAACCTTACGAAGAACTTTACAACATTGTATATAATCTCATTTGAACCTCAGAAGCCAGTGAGTCAGGGAGCAGGAAATATTACTTCAATTCACTGAATAAATTGAGACACAGAGACATTTAAAGACTTGGCTAAACTCACATAATAGGACTGAAATAAGGCCTTGGGTCTCCTGAATTAGAACAGGGATCTTGCTACTGATTATTTAAACTAGTCTGAATTTATTTTCAGCTTCTATTAATTAAAAAAACTAAAACCCAATGACTAATCCAAGGACTACTCTGCAACATGCTGTTTCCAGCCCTTTTCACTCTGACTTTGTGCTGGAACAAGGCTTCCGAACACATTTAATTATTTGTTTCTCTCTGTTTCTCCCACATCACCTTCCACAATTACTGAAAGTTTTCTCAAGAGGTCAAAGTTTACTGTCCTCACTCAAGAGATAACCAGCTGGCTCTGGCTAAGGGATACTTCACAGATTGTCTTAACGTGGAGGTTTTCACTTGAAAGAAGCAAACCCAATTCAAATGGGTTCAGATGGTTATGAATTTTACTGACTGTAAAGGCAATTTGATTCTGAGACTGAAACACACGTTCAGTCATGATTTGCAAGGTGCTGCACTGAGCAGACCACCCTGGACGGGACCACTCGGCCTCCTGCTGCAGAGGGTTACAGAGGGCACAGGGGAAGGTTATATGGGTCCTTGGGGTTGTGGAAGGTCAGAGCATATATGCAGTTTCACACTTCTGGGCTTAGAGGGACCTGTGGTCCATATGTCCAGATTTGGCGGGGGTAGGGGTTGGATTCTGGGATTAAATCAGAGCAGGACATGATCTCTGAGGTTAAAGGTCAGCCAGGCTTGGGTTTTAGTTGGGTAAGTGGAAAGTTACTGGGCATGGGAGTTTTCAGAGCCCTTAAAAGGGCCCACCTGGGTCAAGCTTCAGGCATGGCTTGATCAGGGATCAGGCTCCATTTCTCCAAGACCATCTTAGTGTTCTCCTCCTCCTGGCTTTGGATTTGTCCCCAGTCCTTCCGCCGTGGCCCCAAGATGACCACCAGCTGCAACGCACTTAGCAGTGGGGATCCAGACGGTCTCCACACTTCATTGGCCCAGATTGGCTTGAGCCTGCCTTTAGCCCTAAACTGAGACCACCATTCGCACGCCTGTCTACTTATCAAATCTCTCACCATCAGCAGAAGTAATTGCTCATCTCTCTGCATTCCGAGAGCAAGCGTCTGTCTCTTGGCTGTCATCCTCACCACGTTCTGCCTGTATGTGCTTCCTTACCAGATCCACTGTCTGCTCCTTGCAGGGGGACTGGGTCTTTATGCCTTTTCACAACATGTCTAGCAAAGGTCCTAACACATAGATGTTATCAATACTTACTGGAAGGAAGGGAGGAAGGGAGGGAGGGAGGGAGGAAGGGGACAAAGAAAAGAGTAAGAACCATGGTCCAGTCTCTAGGAAGAGGCAACCTGGACTCACAATGTCTCCCCAGCTTGCCTTTGGAATTTCCTTTCCCTCTTCCAGGTCACTGCAAGGAGCCTCCAACATGGGAATATGAATGTGAACCTTTGAAGAGAATTTACCATTTCATGGCGGGGCAGACAGTTTACTACCAGTGCATTCAGGGATTCAGGCCCCTACAGGGAGGCCCTATCAAGAGCACCTGCAAGATGATCTATGGGAACATGAGGTGGACCCAGCCCAAGCTTGAGTGCATAAGTGAAGGGGAGAACAGTCAGTTTCCAGGTATGGAGATGCCTCCCGCCAGGTCCACCACCTTGCTGCTTCTGTCGGGCGGACCAGCCTGGAATCCCTGACCCACCCGCTACGTGACTTTGGGCAAGTCTCTTCCTCTCTTGGGGCCTCTGTTTTTTCTCATTCTAGAAAACAGACTAGATAAACTCCAAGGTCTTCATCACCTGAGGTCCCCTGTACCCTGATGGGGATAAACAGCAGGAGATGGAAGAGGAAGAAAGGTCTTCCGAAGCCCCCTGGGTGCTACCTCACTGGTGATCCTGCTGCCCCCTTTTCTAGCTGATCCTGAAATTTTCCTTCTGACTCTAAGCTACCAAAACTTCCTCATTCAAAAAGGAAAGTCCACATGCCATGCACACATTTCCAACTTGCTGATACATAATGTAAATCCATTATTTGTGCCATGCCACACCATTAGCATGCCCCCTCCTCTTGTGTGAGTCCCACCTGAGCTTTGCCAAAGTGCAGATGTGCAGGGAAGGGACTTTTCAAGCACAAACACACATGCACACGCATGCACGCTCATTCACACATGCAGACAAGCCACCTATGTTGAGGTCTTCTGCTATTTTCATTCTGAAATAGCCTTACTATTTCTACAGTCAAAAGTCACTTCCATTTGACCCTGTTAGTGGTTTCTTTGCTCACCCCCGCTTCCCAGACCCCACATCTCTCTCTTGGATCTTCTAGGGAGGCTTCTGTGTTTCTTTCCCACAGCCTGACCCCCATGAGCCACACTGCACGCCAGGCATCTCCACGAGCAACGGGGAACCTGTCACAGAGAAAAGCTCTCCTTTTGTGCATTTCTACTTCGTTTAATGGTTTGATGGTATTTGTATTATGATGACCCGTTTCCAAGCCACAGAAGGAAACCAGAGCTGAGTAGGCAGCGTGGGGAGAAAGTTGCTGAGTTCTGTAGAAAGCCAGGGTCAGGGTCACAAAATTCCCTTCCTCCTGCTCTGCTGTGGCCACTGAGCCACTTCGCTGTGACCCTAATGGGGAACCGAGAACTGAGACTCACACCTCAGCTAGTGCATCTGGAGTCAGCTGAGGAGGACAGGGAGGGGGTGGACATGAGACCTCCACACCCCACCTTCTGTTCCACAAGCATCCTTACTCTCTCCTCCAGGTGATGAAGAGCCTCAGGAGAGCACGGATGCTCCCCCTGGCAGTGAAACTGATTTTCCCTTAACAACGAGGATGGCAGGTACCACAGGTACGGCTGCAGTTTCTTGGAAGATAAAAGGTTGGCTATTAAACCATGATGCAGGATAAGGGGAGGAGTTGGCCTGGAGCTGCCCGTAGGTACTAGAGATGATCACACACCTGTGGGCAACCTCCCAGTCCTCAAACACCGCCAGTGTCACAGGAGAAACAAGATGAGGGCGGCGCCTCGAGGCAGAAGAAGGAAATGTTCAGATGTTGGCCCCAGGCTCCCCTGGTCTCTCCTAGCTCTCCAGTGGCTTCCGAGCCCCCAGCCCCGAGAAGCCTGGACTCTCCCAGCCCGTGCAGCCCCACGACCAGCAGTGACTAGCACCCTTCTCTCTCTTTTGCACAGATTTCCAAACACCCACAGAAGTGGCTGCGACCATGGATACGTTCATATTTACAACCGAGTATCAGATCGCAGGTGGGTAGTGACAAACGTGCCCCAGACAGAGACCAGGGGATGTTTGCTTGGTGGGTTGGTGAGTTGCTTGGTTAGTTACTATAAACTAGCTCTTTACACTATATAATGTTTATAAAAGTCAAAGACGAATCCAGATAGTAACATGACTCGGAATCACAGGCACCGGTTGTAGTGAGTTAGGAGTGAGGTCTCAAACCAGCCTCAACCAGTGCCTCCCGACCAGATCCTAGAGGACAAAATACCCGGCACCTGCATGTGAGGGGAGGCCAGGGTGCGGGGATGTGGTGGAACCAGCGGAAGAGAGAAGCATGCCACCAACACTCCAGGTGTTTCCTGGTGGGAGGCAAAAACGGGCTTTGAGAAAAAAACAAAACAAAGACCAAAACCGAGCTCTTAGAAACAGAGCAGAATGCTGGTGACCAGGGGCTGGGGGTGGGGTCAATGGGGAGGCGGGTGTCAGAGGGCACAGACTTCCAGTGAGAAGTGGAGCAAGTATGGAGATTGAACGTAGAGCGTGGTGATCACTGCTAACAATGCTGTATTGTAGACTTGAAAGTTGCTAAGAGTAAATCTGAAATGTTCTTGGCCCAAAAAAGAAATGGTAATTACAATACATTTTGCAATGTATAAGTGTATCAAAGCAACACATTGCACACCTTAAACTTAGACAATGTTACATGTCAATTATATCTCATAAGGGGAGGGGGTGAGTGGAGCAAAACAGGCTTTGAGGCACGTCTAAGACACATAGACAGATGGACGTATGGATAACTTGACAGCTTCAGGACCACAGGAAAGAAGCATCTGGGAAACAACACTTTCAGGAGATGCTAAGTGTTTATCATGCATCTTTATATTTCAACATTTCTTTTACCCATCGCGGGCCTCACTCACGGCCTCTTTAACTGAGGCCGGGGACTCTGAACCTTTCTGAAGAGGGTGCCTGTCAGCTGCTCCCCACAGAAAGAGTGGAGCCCCCTGAGGAAAGGTTTGTGCCCTTCCAGTCCACACCCCCAGGCCCTGGTCCTGGAGCCTCCAGGGAAACTCTGCCGGGAGGGAGCCGCGTTCTGAAAAGGGGCGGCAAAAACCGCAGCGCTCGCCTCTCAGCGAGCCCTTTGCTGGGGGTGGGGACGGATACAAGGGGACGGGCTCGCTCTCTCAGGCCCCGGGGCCCCCTCCCCTGACCTTCCTCTCCGTCCACAGTGGCCGGCTGCATCCTGCTGCTCATCAGCATCTTCCTCCTGACTGGCCTCACCTGGCAGCAGAAATGGTGAGTCCCGGGTGGGCAAGGAAGCCCCGCCCACGCTGGGGGGAGGGAGAGCGCCGCGCAGGAAAGCACTGGGGCAGGGACCCCTTCCCCGCAAGCCCACCCCCTTCCTCCCTGACCACCAGGGGTTTGGGGAGCAGCAGAGGGAGAACTGGCCAGTGCACGCCTTACCAGAGTCGACAGAATTACAGCCGCAGGGAAATGGGAAAGCCAAGGAAGCGAACATCCACTGAGCGCCTACTGTATGCCAGGGTCCATGCTTATCTTGCGAACATTATGGCAACCTGAAACCTTTGCTACAAGCTCTGGCAGGTTAAGCAACATCGACAAGGTTGCACAGCAGAGGCCCAAACTGCAACCTCTGTCTAGTGCCCAGGACCTCTTTGCCCCTGTCACCTGGCAGCGGAGAACCAAGGGCAGCATCAGCCCTGGTCCTCTCCTGCGCTCCTCACCCCCCCAATGCAGCCGCTCACACCAGAGCCCCCTAGGCCGGGAACCTGACCCACGCGACCCCACGTGTGGACTTATTTGCATTAACTCTCCCGGCTGCAGAGGAGAACAACCCGGTGAGATTTAAAAAATACCAATGCTTGGGTGGGCCCCAGACATCAGTACTTTAATTTTTAATTGAGATAAAATTCTTCATTTTAACCATTTTAAAGTGTGTAATTCAGTGGTTTTCAGCACTGTTGCGTATACACCACCAGTATCTAATTCCAGAACATTCCATCACCCCAAAAAGAAACACCACATTTCCCAATTCTCCATCCCCCCACCCCATTCCCTGGCCACCACTGATCTACGTTCCATCTCTATGGGTTTGCCTGTTTTGGACATTTCATGTGAATGGGACCACAATGTACGTACTGCATGCCCTGTTGTTACTGGGATGTTAGTACTTTTTAAAAGCTCCTCAGTCGCATCTAATACATACACATCCAGTTTAGACAACCCCAAGCTGGACCCGTGGTTCTGAGACGAGTGCATCAGCATCTCCCAGGGGGGCTTGTTTTTTTTAATTGAAGTACAGTTGATTTACAGTGTTTCAGGTTTACAGCAAAGTGACTCAGATATATATAAATACACATATATATACTTTTTCAGATTCTTTTCCATTATAGGTTATCACAAGATACTGAATATAATTCTCTGTGCTATACAGTAGGTTTTCATTGTTTATCTATTCTCTATATAGTATCTGTTAATCCCAAATTCCTAATTCCCTGTGGGCTTCTTAAAGCAGAGCCTGCCAAGCCTACCCCCAAAGTCCCTGATTCAGCAGGTCTGGGGTAGGGCCTGAAAATTTACGTCTAACAAATGCCCAGGTGATGCCAATGTTGCTGGTCCAGGGACCAAACTTTGAGACCCACTGCACTAACAGTGTTAAGAATCAAGAGAGTGAAATCATTTCTCTCTCTCTCTCTCTGTCTCTCTCTCTCTCTCTCTCTGTCTCTCTCACACACACACACACACACACACACACACACACACACACACACACACAGAGTCAGTCTCTCCCTCCCTTTAGACAGAGGACTATGGAGACCTAGCTTGTCACTCTCCCCACTCCCAGGGCATCCCCTACCCCCTCCTCACCAGGTGCACTCTGCCAACCCTGATATAAACCCCCCAGAAGACCCTGAGAAGACAGAGAGTCACCCTCCTACCCCCCGCCAAGAACCAAAGCCCTCTGACCACCCAGCCTGCCTAGCCAGATAGAAATCATCAGATTCCTTCCATTCTTATCTTGATCGTCAGGCCCACGATAAACTCCTGGTTTTCCTTCTGTCAATTAAAAAGCACAAATGATTGCAACGCAAAGGAGAAGCCCTCTAGGGTTGCCGTGTTAGGAATTATTCGCATACCCGGCAACCTACCAATCCCTCTACGTGTTAGCCAATTCCTGAGGCGTTTTTATAGGATTCTGTGAGATGATGCAGGTAAATTGCCCAAGACGCTATTTTTACTGCACAGACAGATCCTCTCCTTCCCTCACTGACAGGATCTAATACCTATCAAGGATCTTTGTATTTGGTAGCTTAAAGACCCAAACCTTCGGACACAAAGGGATGAAGCTATTTGGGAGTGGGAAAGGTTTGGACTTGATGTTGTGAAACCAAGAACTGCCTGAAACTATATGAGTTTCCAAGATCTCCCAGAATTGCAATCTTCCAGGAGACCTAAACAGACACCTCAAACTGACCCAGAGAGCTGGTCCAAAAGCCTTCCTAGAATTGAATTTCATCTGATGGTGCCCTCTTGTGGCCAAACAGAAATACTACATTTGATTTTTTTAATTTTTTAAAGCAATTACCGGGAGCTGACTTACCCCAGCTCCTGAGAGCCAAAAGCTAGATGTTCTGGAATTTTGAGAACTGCTTTTAAGCATAGCCATTATTAAAAATTAAATTATATAAACTTACAGTTAAATAAATTATATTAAAAACAAAGTCAGGGACTTCCCTGGTGGCACAGTGGCTAAGAATCCACCTGCCAATGCAGGGAACACGGGTTTGATCCCTGGTCCGAGAAAATCCCACATGCCGCGGGGCAACTAAGCCTGTGCGCCACAACTACTGAGCCTGTGCTCTACAGCCCGTGAGCCACACCTACTGAAGCCCACATGCCACAACTACTGAAGCCCACGAGCCACAGCTACTGAACCCGCGAGCCTAGAGCCTGTACTCCACAGCAAGAGAAGCCACCGCAATGAGAAGCTCGCGCAGAGCAACGAGGACCCAATGCAGCCAAAAATGAATAAATAAATAAATTTATTAAAAGAGAAAGTTAATAAGTACTCAAAATTAATCATTTTCTAATTGTTTTACTGCATTTTACTACTTTATTCTCAGGGTTATTTGCATCTGTATCGAGGAAATACTATCTATATGATGGTTTTATACTGCACGTCTCTCCCCAACTCTGTATTCAAGGTAGCTTGAAACTGGGAGTGGTGGGAGTTTTTACACCATGGAAACAGGCAGCCTTTTTCAGACAGCTGGTTGTTAAACATTTGCCAACACACCAGTTCTTGGAGCCTTGCCCCATGGGAGCTCTGAGCAAATTAGGAAGTAACCAGATGTTCCCATGGGCTGAGGAAGGGCTGGGGAAGTCTAGGATTGTACTGTCTGATAGGGTCGCCACTAGCCACGTGTGGATATTTAAGTTTAAACTTAAATAAATTAAATGCAATTAAAAATTCGGTCTACGCATTGCACCAGCCACATTTCAGGTGTTTGATAGCCACACATGGCCACATTATTGGACAACATAAGATACAAAACATTCCCATCACCACAGAAAGTTCTTATGGTACAGCGCAAGCTAGAAAACTAGGAGTTTTCAATTCATGAAAACCCCTTAACACAGCTAGTTGGTTTTATTATTCCTTTTAGGCAGCTGTTGTCTTCCGTATACTTCCAAAAAATTTTGATAGGGTATCTCCTACGTAGATGCTGGTCAAAGGGTACAAACTTGCAGTTAGAAGATGAATAAGTTCTGGGGAATCTAATGCACAGCAGAGGTGATTATAATCAACAACATTGTATTATATACTTAAAAGTTGCTAAGAGACTAGATCATAAATGTTCTCACCACCAAGAAGAAATGACAGTTATGTGATGTGATGGAAGTGTTAGCTTTAACACCACGGTGTTCATTACATCTCAATATATAAATGTATCAAATCAACACATGGTACACCTTAAACTTCCACGACGTTCTATGTCAATTATATCTCAATTTTAAAATGACTACGAGAATATCTCCTATGTACCAGGCACTTGCCAGGGGCCTAAGGACAAATACGAATGGCCCCTGCTCTCAGGACCTTACAGATCAGTGGAGGAGAAGGGGAAAAGAATTGAGACTTTAAATGTAATTTGTTAAAGCCTAAGGTTGAGGTGTTACAGGAACGAAGAGAAAGGAACCTAATCCTATATGGGGACACCCAGAAGTCTTTCAGAGCTGATACCAGCGGCCAGATAAAGAACGGCAGGAGAAGCTGCAAGTCAGAGGGGCAGGAGGAGACGTAAGGCAGCCTGAAGGGCACGAGGACGTCTGGGAGGATCTAGCAGTTCTGAACACTGGGGTGTAAAGTGCACGGGGCAGTGGTGACAGTGGTGCTGTGGGAATGGCCAGGGACCAAGGCCTGGAAGATCAGGCCAGACTGAGGAGCTCGGGCCCGATCCTGAGGACGACAGCGAGCCACAGAAGCTCGATTATGCGATAAATGGTAGCACTGGCCCTCTGAAGAGTCTGGCCACAATAGAGGCTGGAGTTACGGTGGGTAATGGTGGTGGCAGTTTGATTATGTTACGATGGAATAAATCCACACAGGGGACGAGGAGAGCATGAACTAGGTCAGTGGACATAAGTTAAAAAGGAGGAAAAGGACTTCCCTGGTGGCGCAATGGTTAAGAATCCTGCCAATGCAGGGGACATGGGTTCGAGCCCTGGTCTGGGAAGATCCCACATGCCGCGGAGCAACTAAGCCCGTGCGCCACAACTACTGAGCCTGCGCTCTACAGCCCGCGAGCCACAACTACTGAAGCCCACGCGCCTAGAGCCCGTGCTCCACAGCAAGAGAAGCCACTGCAATGAGAAGCCCGTGCACCACAATGAAGAGTAGCCCCCGCTCACCCCAACTAGAGAAAGCCCACGTTCGCTGCAACTAGAGAAAGCCCACGCACAGCAACGAAGACCCAACACAGCCAAAAATAAATAAATTAAAAATAAATTTTTTAAAAAAAGGAGAAAAAAATCGAGAAATACGTGAGTCAAGTTCATGTGGCTGATCAGAAGTGAGGGTTAAGGAAGAGGGTTGACTTGGGGATGACACCAGATGTTAGAGTGTTACGGGGGACTGTTGTCACTACACACGAGGATGACGTGTAACGTGAGGGTCATGTACCCCGTGGGGAGTAGCCCTGGAGAAGACCCCCTCCTGTAGCCCCTTCCCTAAGACCCACCCAGCCTCCACACCTGTAATGGTCTGGGTCTCAGGCTCTTTCTCAGCCCCACTCACCGCACAATGATTGGACCATCACGCTGTGAGGACCTCAGGGCTGCCAGTCTTGATCTCTAGAGGGGGTGGTCAGCATGTGGGAAGGTCACAATATCCCGGGGTGGGATTTAAAGTTAGCGGGTCAATGGGGGCTTCTGTTGAATGCTCCATCCACATCCGTTTAGGGCGCAGACCACATTCTTCTTGGTGTGGCATTACACCCATGACTATGACTTGTTATATCACTACAGGAAGAAGAATAGAAGGACAATCTAGAAAACCAAGGGCAAGAAGAACCCGCAGATGTCATGGACCACAATCAAAATCAAGGCAGCTGAACACTCACCCAAGAGGCATCTCCTGATCCCATGGGTTCTGGAAAGCTCTGAAGTCACATCACAGGACACCAGGCACCTGCAACCCCATCGTGAAGCCAGCTCTGTAGTATCAACGAGCGAGCTTGACCTGCACGTAGGCAGCAAGTCCAAGGTCACTGGAGGAACAGGGAGGAAAAACCAGAACTCTTGGTCCCACTTTCATGTGTATGTGTTCATTAAAGCATGACCGGCATGGAACTCTCTCCATGCCATGTATAATACAAAGGAGAGTAGCTTCATGCTAAGTTCATCCCAACTTCCCAGTTTAGAAATCCCAAGGAACACCCTAGCACTAATGTAAATAGACACACACGCTCTCTACCCTATGTAACTGGACCTTGTTCCTCGGTCCACATAGGTCTTTTCCCAGCCTCTGGTTGACTAGCCCATTCTCCTGATCACATCCTTTAATGAATGCCCCCTAAGAACTCTGGACTGGTAACTAGGAATGCTTTGGACCTTAGCTCAGTGCTCTAAACTAGCCCCCCTCCACTGAACCTTCAATTCTGAGTTTCTAAAGAACAGAGTCCATGGGGGAATAGTCTTTGGGTAATACCAAAAGAGGACAACCAAGCCCTTGGAACTGTGGAGCTTCAATATTTGAAAAGATTTCACTGGAGTTAATGTCAGGAGAAGGGAGATAAGCTAGATCCTAGGTAATGGATTATTCCGGTCAAAAAGCTTCAGCTGTACATGACTAATGGGCCACTTCAAGAGTTAGTTTCTCTTGGATTGCTATAAATGATACTCTGTGTTTGGCCAGCACGAATTTGATGTTTACAGACAGACACACAATGTGCAAATGTGTACATTTTCAAAGAAGTGTCATAAAAACACTGATAAGGGAGCAATACGTTCAATGTTTATGGAAGGAAAGAAAGAAGGAAGTCGGGGTGGAGTGGGGTGGGAGAGCATGTGATTATGGACAAGGTCACACCAGTGATCCTCAAACTGTTAGCACAACGATGAGCAAATCAAAATCACCTGGAGGCCTTGTTAAAACATAGAAGGGGGGACTTCTCCGTGCGCCAGTGGTTAAGAATCTGCCTGCCAATGTAGGAGACATGGGTTTGATTCCTGGTCCGGGATGATCCCACATGCTGTGGAGCAACTAAGCCCGTGCACCACAACTACCAAGCCTGTGCTCTAGAGCCCGCAAGTCACAACTACGGAGGCAGCGTGCCACAACTACTGAAGCCCACGCACCTAGAGCCTGTGCTCCACAACAAGAGAAGCCACCACAATGAGAAGCCCACGCACCACAAGGAAGAGTAGCCCCGCTCTCTGAAACTAGAGAAAGCCCACGTGCAGCAGCGAAGACCCAACGCAGCCAAAAATAAAAAACAAAACAAAAAACACAGAAGGCTGGGCCCACCTCCAGAGTTTCTGAGTTAGCAGGTCTGGGGTGGGGCCTGAGACTTTACCTTTCTAACAGGTTACAAGTGATGCTGATGATGCTGGTCCAGGGCCACACTTTGAGAACCATGGGGTTTATGCCTCCCACCCTCAACTCTCACTGGAAAAATCAGCCTCAGGGGCTGAGATTTCAGTGCAGACTCAGACTTTTGCCAAAAATCTCAATTCTCAATCAGTTGACTTAGATGTCCAGGTTAAACAAAATCACATAATGAAGATTAATGAAAAATTTAAATCAGCAGCCAGTTTTTATTTCTGAAAGGGCAGGAAAATGTTATGAAAAAAATGGGCAGGAGTCAGCAGGTCCATATCTAGATTAAAGAACCATTTTCTGTCCTTTCTGTGACCAACCAAGTACCATCAGGTTCCATCATCAACATCCCCCAAGTATATGTTTTCTGGGGAAACTAATGTTAAGACGAATATAAGACCAGAAAAAAAAATTTTTTAATCTTATATATCTTACTTGAATAAAACTGGATTATCATTACTCATTTTGGGGGAGGGAGGTCCATGAGATCAAAATTTTTTTCATAATACAGTTGACCCTTGAACAACACAGGTTTGAACTGCATGAGTCCACTTACATGTGGATTTTTTTTTTTTTTTTTTTTTGCGGTACGCGGGCCTCTCACTGTTGTGGCCTCTCCCGTTGCGGAGCACAGGCTCTGGACGCGCAGGCTCAGCGGCCATGGCTCACGGGCCCAGCCGCTCCGCGGCATGTGGGATCTTCCCGGACCAGGGCACGAACCCGTGTCCCCTGCATTGGCAGGTGGACTCTCAACCACTGTGCCACCAGGGAAGCCCTATGTGGATTTTTTTTAAAGTAAATTCTACAGTGCTACACAATCCCTGGTTGGTTGAATCCGCAGATGCAGAATCGGGGATATAGAGGAACCACAGGTACATAAGGACCATGGATACGGAAGGCCGACTATAACTCACACGTGGATTTTTTACTGCACAGAGGGTCATTGCTCCCAACTCCAGTGTTGTTCAAGGGTCAGCTGTGATTAAGATGTTATTTACCTTTTTCACTCTCATTCTCTTACAAATGTATGGTGGAATTTTCCAGAAGCTACATGATATGTGATGATGTCATCGCTCTGGTGGTAACACATAATGAGTTTACTACTGCTGTTTATAGAAGAATTAATAACTAATATTTTTTAAATTTCCTGGTTTTAGTGTCTAAGTATGATAAGTATCACTAGATGTAACTACATAACAAAAAGTTTTGAGGAGCCTCAATACTTTTTAATAATATGAAGAGGTCCTGACAGATGGCTAACAAGCACATCATCATTGGTCATTTCAGAAATGCAAATCAGATATATATGTGTGTGTATATATATATATATATATATATATATATATATATATATGTATGTATAATGGAATATTACTCAGCCATAGAAAAGAATAAAATAATGCCCTTTGCAGCAACATGGATGAACCTAGAGATTATAATACTGAGTGAAGTAAGCCAGACAGAGAAAGACAAATATCATATGATATCTCTTATATGTGGAATCTAAAAAAAAAATATGATACAAATGAATTTATTTACAAAACAGAAACAGACTCACAGACATAGAAAACAAACTGATGGTTACCAAAATGGGGTGGGGGGAGGAATAAATTAGGAGCTTGGGATTAAAATATACACACTACTATATATAAAATAGATAACCAACAAGGAACTACTGTATAGAACAGGAAACTATAGTCAATATCTTGTAATAACCTATAATGGAAGAGAATGTAAAAAAAGAATATATATATATATATATATATATATATAAAACTGAATCACTTTGCTGTACACCTGAAACTCACACAACACTGTAAATCAACTACATTTCAATAAAAATTTTTTAAAAAAGAAATGCAAATCAAAACCATGGTGAGACACCACTTCATAACTGTTAAGATGACTTTAAGGGGAAAAAAAAGAGGAGATAACAAATGTTGACAAGGATGTGGAGAAATAGGAACCCTCATACATTGCTGGAGGGAATGTAAAATGGTGCAGCCATTGTGGTGGTTGTTCCTCAAAAAGTTAAAGAATTACCAGGTGGCCCTGCACTTCCACTCCTGGGCATGTTCAATAGGAAGGAAGAAAACCCTTGTCCGCACAGAAGCTTGTATAGAACTGCTTATAACAGCATCACAGCCAAACAGTCAAGAGATGGAAACAACCCAAAAGGCCTACCAATGGAGGAATGGATAAGCAAACCATGGTCTCTCCACACACTGCAATATGACTCTGCCATAGAAAGGAATCAAGTCCTGATAAAGGCTACAGCATAGATGAGCCTAAAGAACATTGTACCAAGTGAAAGAAGCCAGACACAAAAGGTCACATGTTGTATGATTCCTTTTATGTGAAATGTCCAGAATAGGCAGCTCCAAAGAGACAGAAAGCAAATGAGCAGTTTCTAGGCCTGGGGTAAGAAGAAAAGCCTGAACAAACTGAACACCAGTGACTCGTCTCAGATCGTCAGTCACAGGGCAAAGCTCTGCCCCCAAAGTGAAGTGACAGACAGGTGGATGCAAAGAATCAACGGCCTCCTGGAGCAGACACTGGGGCAGGGAAACCTAAACCCGTGACTGCTGGAGGCTCGGTGTGCACAAGTCTGGGAGGTATAAACTCCAGGGGTCCAGTCATAGGAGGCCCTACGTCTCCATGAGTTTTACCTCCCGGGGGTGACCCAGGTCCTCATGGTGACGGTCAGAGAAACCCCCCTCATGCTTGCAGCAGGGGGAGGGGGCAAAGGAACCAATTTTGAAATATACCAGACACTCTGCTCTCCTTAAGGAGGGCTGTCCCTGGGAGAAACTACTTCCCTAACTATCTGGGGTTTTATCTAAGCCTAACACACCAGAGGGAAGGGAAATGCCCAATTCTGACCTGCTCTACCTTGCACACGGGAAAAGGGAAATATCAACTCCAGACCTCTGGATTCCTATCCAGGCTTTCTATCCCACCTGAGGGGTTGGGGGAGAAGCACAGCCCCAGGCTCACTAAGGAGACTTAACCCCTAATTGTAAGACAATTGTAAGATAATTATAAAACAATCCCTCCCCCACACCTCACCATCACATCAGTATGGCTCCTGTATGATAACGGGGAAACACAGCCCAAAGACCCACACATCTTAGACATTATTTAAGAAAAAGTCTCTAGGGAAATGCAGAGAAAACCCAGGGAAAGCCAGGGAGATAAAAACAATGACACCATAGGCAATTTCAGCCTCCACAGGTATAGTAAACGCTAAACACAGCCTAATTCCTAGGCAGACAAACACAAAGCCTCACACCATAAGGCCTACTTACCTCAGTTCCTTTTACCTAGTACATCATGTCCAGCTTTCAATAAAAAATTACAAGGCATGCTAGGGAGTTCCCTGGTGGTCCAGTGGTTAGGACTCGGCGATTTCATTGCCAAGGGCCTGGGCTCAATCCCTGGTCAAGGAACTAAGATACTGCAAGCCGTGCAGCCCAGCCAAAAAAAAAAGAAAGAAAGAAATTACAAGGTATGCTAAAAGGCATAAAATGCAGCCTGAAGAGACAGAGCCAGCATCAGAACCAAATTCAGATATGGCAGATATGTCAGATTGGGAATTTAAAACAACTATGGAAAATAAATTATTCTGACAGAGATTGCTATGACCCCTAAATCCAGTCTTTCCTTGGTAATGAAAGCCCAGGTTTTAGTGGAACACAGCCCTCCCCCAGCTGAGGATTACGTTTGCCAGCCTCCCCGTCAGCTAAATGGGCCACGTGACTAAGTTCTGACTCGTGAGACATGAGTGCGGTAAAGTGAGCAGTTTCTAAGGTGCCCTTGAAGAGAACAGGTGTGCCTTGCCCTTCCTCCCCTCTTCCACTGGCTGGCAGGTGGTCTTGGTAGTGGGAGCTAGAACAAGCAGTGGAATTAAAAACTACACATTAAGTTTAACAGGGAAATAAAACCAAAGGAGCCTGGATGTCTGACATGGAGGGGCCCCGCCACAGCTGTTTACTCTTGCACTGGACATGAGTCAGAAATACCCTCCCCTAGGGATAGATTGGGAGTTTGGGATTGACATGTACACACACTACTATATTAAAATAGATAACCAATAAGGACCTGCTGTACAGCACAGGGAACTCTGCTCAATATTCTGTAACAACCCAAATGGGAAAAGAATTTGAAAAAAAGTAGATATATGTGTATGTATAACTGAATCACTTTGCTGTACACCTGAAACTAACACAACACTGTTAATCAACTATACTCCAATATAAAATAAAAAGTTTTTTAAAAAAATAAAATGCAGATGTGATATTTATAACAGTTATAACTACCAAAAAAAAAAAAAAAGAAAGAAATACCCTTCCCTTTAGGCCACTGTGACCTTTGCCCTCATTAGAGCAGCTGTATCAACATCCCATAACAATCATCCACCCTACATGCACCTCCCCCAAATTTGGCTTATACAGTCATAACAGTATCAAAATATTTTCAGTGGAAAATGGGACAAGAATTAGCATAGGACTTTTTTTTTAATATTCCCCTTTTATTTTTTAACATCTTTATTGGAGTATAATTGCTTTACAATGGTGTGTTGGTTTCTGCTGTTATCACAAAGTGAATCAGCTATACATATACATAA